TTTGTAGTGTAGGAATAGGTTGGAAGAATGTTAGAGGCGGCCAAACCAAAACATGGCAGAAATCCATGAAGTCATTGACTAGTGGACTCAGCCATGTCGGTAATTGTCGACTACCTAGTTGGGGTCCGCGAGATGATAATAATCGATGGTTAGAGACCTTGAATGAAATGGCTCAAAATCGTTCGCAATGGCGCCGGTGCATTTATTCTCTGTGTTCTCTCAAATGCTAATCTTTTTGGATTCTTCAACACCTCTAGTTTCGACTCTCTAAACTTATCTCACTGAATCATACTTCTTGAATAATATCTTCTAATCCTAACCTCTCCGATTATTTCTAATTCCCTTACTACCTCTTCTACTATTGGATTTGAATTGACGATTACTTCTCTGTGCTGATGTGGTATGGCAACATGAACTGATGTACTTATGTACAAAGTTCTACGTTGCATCTGACTGACTGACTGACGTAGATATAACCACTTCAAAAGTGAGATTAATCAGTTTGGTTATTAGATAAACAAATAATGCCTAAGGCTCTGAAATCAGATATAGAAGTAACTGAAAAGAGGCTCTATTTTCTCTTCAGAAAAACTTAGGGAGAACAAGTAAGAACAGATAGGAAAGTATGATGCCCTCATGGAGATACCGAAGAAAGGTCTTAACAAGTGTCAAAGGTTTCAAAGGATTCACAAACTCGAGATCAGCAGGTTGGATTCTGTCAAGATCGAACTTGTTCCGACCAAACTCGTCACTGTACACTAACCACGTTGATAATTGGAAATCAATTGAAAACATGAACAGGATAACATTATGGAAGCTTCTTCGATGTTACGGTGTACCTGAGAAGGTAGTCAGCGTCATATGGTATTCTTACGATGGACTACACTTCAAAGTCATAGAGGGTAGCTGACTGGCTCATTTCAAGTAAAGATCGGTGTCAGGCAAGGTTGCTTACTCTAGTCGTTTCAGTGGACAGTTGGGATGCAATTAGAAAATCTAGACTTTGCAGATGATCTGCCTTCTGTATCACACAAATCCAAGAGAAGACGACCTGCGTATCAGCAGTCTCAGAAGCAGTAGGTTTCAACATAGACAAGAGAAAAAGAAAGATTCTACGGTACCACACAACATGCACCAACCTAATCACACTTAACGGAGAAGCTTTAGAAAAAACTCTACGTATCTGGCCAGCATAATTGATGAACACGATGGATTTGATGCTGATGTGAAGGCATGGATTGGCAAAGTAGTGGCAGCATTTCTACATTGGAAGAACATCTGAGACTCTAAACAACTATCAACAAACACCGAAGACACAATTTTCATTATAAATGTCAAAATAGTTTTATCGCATAGAGTGGAAACTTAGAGAACTACAAAAACCATCATCCAATAGATATGACAGTCTATCTCCAGTTTTTTGTTAGAAGATTCTGCGAATCCATTGGTTAAACAGCATCAGCTACAAAGTACTTTGGTAGAGAACAAACCAGCTTCTAGATGAAGAGCAGATTAGAAAAAATCCTCGAAATTCATCTTAAATACATCGTTAAAATCACAAAACTGCATTAGTAGGTTAGCCCTTAAAGCCTACCAAAGAAGGCATTGTTCCACGAATTGACGGCCGAAAGGCAACAGCACTTGGCAATTAGTGAGAAGAACAGCCGAGAATAGAGTGGGTTGGAAATTGCTGGTCAGTGGCCTATGCTTAGCATGGGGTTGACAGCCATAAGAACGTAAATGATTTCTGTATGAGAGCTGATGATATCGAAAGAGTGAATAATTTGAGATTCAGATCTGCAACCTATTGAGTGTGAATTTTATTTCTTAACCATTATGATGTGACTTTTTGACCTTATTCAATTCGACAAAATGATGTAGTCAGAAAGACTGGTATAATGAGTCAGATGTTATTATGAAATATATTAGTGATCAGTTGATTTTTTATTTAGTAAAGTCATTCTAATTAAATTTGCTTATGTAATAGCGTTGTATTGAAAAAAATGTTGTTGAAATTTAAAAGATACTTACAGATCGAGCAATGTCTAATCCAGAGGCTTCATGAATAGTTGCACGTGTCACTTTCTTGATATCCTTAGTCACTGATGACATAACCTGTTGAATGGATAAGTTTTAATTAGAATAACACAAACTGTGAAACTTATTTTCAGTAATTTCTTCATCATAATGTGGTTTATTGCCTGATTCTTAGTCAGTCAGCGCTAAGTTTTTAAAAAACAATGATTCCTTTACATCCGACTTGGTTTTTGGCAGACAGTTGGCAGTTACCTGCGTGTTTAAGTCGTGATCTGATTTTGGGGTTTAGTTGAACGCTGTACAGTGTTCGTGGGATACTAAGCAATAAAAGTGATTGTTAATACTTAATCTAAAAAAGTTGAAAAGTAACGATAACATTTGGAACTAACTATTGTTATCATTATGAGGTTTTTGGTTTGAAAAACAAATGACTTAACAACGAAATTAATTACTAAATGATATCATATGTTCAGCTTTCCTTAAAAAATATTGTTTCTATGTTCACTGAATTAAATGCTAGGTATTATATCCATTTATTCTTATTATGTTAGTTTTGTGGTGGTGGCGGTGGTGTTTGGTTCTCTGACCAGGGTGTTTTGATTGTGGAGCTGGTGAATTTGTAAATGCTCCTGTGGAGATAGCTATATCACGCGTACTGCCAGGCAACTTAACCAACGAATGAGTGAAGACCTCGTAGCATGGTGGTCCTATTGTAGATAAGTCTAGATCTTTTCGAGTAATCTATCGTATACCTCAATCATTTCCCAACAGAGTTCGATCCCGTCTCCTACATATAGCAGAAGCCATAGGAATTTGTACATTCAACCCCAATTTATGTGTTCAGAAGAAATTCTCTTCCGTGGCCTGGATGTGACGTAACTAACGATTGACATCATATATTTTTTATCTTATTTTTATTTTTACACATTTGCTTATTACGTAATGGTTTTAATGTTTTGTAGTGTTCATTTGAAGTCTATTATTCATCCACGATGTTTGACCTACTATTGATAAAACTTAAGTTATCATATTTTATAATTATCTTACTACTATCAGTACACCTGTCATTTTCCTACTATTCACTTGTACTTTTTGCCTATTATATGTAGTTACGTAATCTCTATTTCATTTCATTGTGATTACTGACTCAAATTGCCTTGATTGGTTTAAAATTTTCATATAAATATTCATGTATATTAGAGTAAAGCCTGATGACGATCTAATCGAAAACAACCACACTGTTCGCTTATGTGTTGTTCTAGTTTCCTTGATACGTTATGAACCCTGAACTGTGAAGTATGTTTACTTGATAATTGAATATTTGTGTAAACTTATTGGGGATGTTAGATCCCCAGAATTCGCTTGATAAATATCTTTATTTTGGATTTATTTCATGGACCGATCAGCTGATCTTGAGATAACATTTCCCACCAAGAAAATCCTTGGCTGTGATTGGTTACTTTGTTATTTTAGTGTGTTATTTTTATGACTGTTTCAAGGATGTCTCTATAGAGTATAAATAAATGCAATTTGAGTGCTTGGATTCATTGTGTGCTGGCTAGGTGTTTGTTGAATACAATTTCTACCCTATATCAAGACTTCTTGCTGATACCTTTTGGTCAAGAGATCACAGTAGCCTACCTGAACGCTGGTTCATTGTTTTGTTCTCGTTAATCGTCTAAAGTGAACTCGTAATAGTTTTAAGCATAACTAGAGTCGAGTATAACAAAACTATAAAACGTAATCAAGTTATTTGGAAAAAAATAAAATTAGAAATACGTATTTCAAATCTGTTTGAAAAATAAAATCTATTTAAGATTACATGAATTATAGCAAAAATGTTATAGTGCTGACTTCAATTATTCAATTCAACTTACAAAATCAGAAAAGTTGAAATAAATTCTTGATGCATTGTAAAGCTGATCTTGAACACATTTTTTTTGTTCTTGATATTGACGAATTGTTTCAGATGTCCAAAGTGATTTGATTTCACCGTTTTTCATCATCACGGATCCTTTTTTTCAAATAGTACAAATGAAATAAATTTTGGAATGAAAAATTTGATAATAAGTTTTGATAATTTAGAGTTTAATTTTGGGAAAAAAAGTATGTAAGAAATGTTGTTACTTAAATATCATTTGGAACAACCGTATAAGTAATGCTGTCGTTAGGAAACGAGTTCTAGGTAAGCATGGCAAATCAATCAATGAAGTACTAAAACTTTATTAGTTGAGGTTGTTGGGACATGTGTTACGAATGCCTAACCACCGACTGCCGTGACGAGCTATGTTTTGTGGTGTAGGAGTGAGTTGGAAGAAAGCTAGGGGCGGCAAAATCAAAATACGACAGAAATCCATGAAGTCACTGACAAGTGGATTGAGTCATGCTGGTAGATGTAGACTACCTGGTTGGGGTCCGCAATGGCTCAGGTGCATCCACTCTTTGTGCTCTCTCTAATTCTGACCTTCTGAATTACTCATAATCTCTACGTTTCTCCCTCTAAATTTATCTCACTGAATTATACTTCTAGAATCAGATCTTTGCTCCCAAATCTTCTCCATCGCTGCTAATATTTCTACTATCACTATCACTCATGGATTTGAACTGACATTTCCGTCTCTGCACTGACGTGGTATGGCAACCTGAGCTGATGTGCTTACGTACGATGTTCTGCGTTGTATTTGTCTGTCTGTCTGTCAAACAAGTGATATTTGAACATAACAATTTTCACTGAATTTTTTCATCTCACTTACCATATTCTCCAACTAAGACACCAATAGCAGTACCAACTAACGATCCTAAACCGCCGAAATTGAAAGCAGCTGGTAAATTATGATGAAATATTGGTAATTGAAGCATTCCAGGTGGTACAAATACTTCATCTAACAGTAAATGTAAAGCTACATGTGAATCATAAATCATCACATCACGTGAACTCCAATTTTCTTCACTTGTTTCAGTTACACCAGATAATAGACGATTATACACACTACGAAGATATTGAACAGCTGAGAATATATTTTCTAGATAATTATATGAAACTTTTAGCTGGAAAAAATTCAACAAAACATACATTATTATTATTATTATTATTATTTAATTTATACAAATTTGTAAAATGTTAAGAACTTATAAATGCATACTACTATTGTGGTGCGCGCTACTTATAAGTAGTATATGACGCGAGTAAAAACGTAATGTCTGGCAGCAGAAGATAGGGGAAGATCAAGAAAGAAAGAGTGGGAACACAATGGGATTTGTATGAAATAGCACGAACAGTGAAATGTCAGACAATGGATTGATGTTTTGCAACAGGAACAGTCCAGTTCGATATGATGAACTGATATTTTGCAAATTAACAATTTACGATATGGTTTTTCGTATTTTACCAATTAACTCTGTAATTTTCGATAAATACAATTCGGTTGCCCTCACCTGTGTTCTCCTTCACTACACTATGTCTGTTCTGATATTACAGTTATGATGCCTAATTGAATCACTAACTAAATGTTGTGGTTCATAAAATCAGTGTCAGAATTATGAAATTAACCACACACTAAAAAATTTTACTCAGCAAATATCATAACGAATGAGTAATTATTTTGTTACACATTTTTGAAACCATGAATCTATCAATGATAGACCATCATTAGAAGCCTGGAAGCACTGAAAGACGGCTGTTTAGTTCTGGTATGGGAATCCTCAGCAGGGCGCATCCACGACTCCTGCACCTCACAGGGATTCGAACACGGGACCTTCGGTATTGTGCGCGAACGCCTAACCATCGGACCACTGAGCCGGTATCTATCGGTGTTCATGTCTAACTTGATCCATTCACGGAGTTGCGCAACCTCATACACTGTCTTCGGTAGTTACTGTCTACACACGAACAGGTTGAACTTCACTGGTCATGTATTCCCACTAGAAATCGGAGAAGATTCCTCACGAAGCTAGTCACTAGTGAGCACAGGTAATTTGCATTACGAGGTTGTGAAAATGATGTGTAACTTAACAATCTTCACAACCCCATAATGCTAATTATGTTGTATAAAGAAAGATATAATAATGAGAGATCTCTTGGCGTTATTTACTACTGAAATTATGAAAAGGAAATATATAAATTTGGCAAATTTTATGCTTTCTGAATCATTTAACCATGATGAATCAAATATTTAACACTATTTATAAGTGTTATGTGATTATGGGTAACTAACACAAAACTCTCCTTGACTGAGGTTTCGTTCTAATTTGAACCAGTAAGTGAAACATGCTTGAAGTCTTGAAGGAACTGTTTTCCCTCCCCCCAGGTTAAACAAAACCTGGATCCTACAGACTACATTCAGTGATCTAGTATCGAAAACTAGTGAATGTTATGTTGAGTTACTTGACCAGTTGGCTATATTGCAACTTGATGACCTAGAATGAGATCAGCACACTATGAGCAATGAAAATATATAAAATGAACCCTTATTCTGTAATTAATAAGTTTAGCCATCCAAAATATTATTTCATGCCTTTTTTTATAAACTAATCGGTTTATAATAGACTATTATTTTGTTTAAATTACTAAACTCAGTTTACCATACCATTTCGGAATGTTCAATCTCCATAACAGTTTCATAAGTTAAAAATAATGTCCATCGCAGATTCATTTCATTTAAATAAGCACTGATCAATAAGGCGGAAGAATTTCACTGCCTCATAAATAAGTATTGTACATTTTAATCTATGCGTTTGAGTATGATTGTATCTAATTTTCGCTACAGTAAATTTTCAAAAGTGCAGGATGATTATCTGATATGTTATTTTTTTTCATTCTGTTTTTACAGATTAAATCTGTGAAGAGAATTATTCCCTGGATCAATATAGGTTGTGTTTAGTTAGATAATTAGACAGACAGATATACAACGCAGAACTTTGAAACATAAGTACATCAGTTCAGGTTGCCATACCAAGTCAGCATAGAGACGTAACTGACAGTTCAAATCCAAGAGTGAGATAGCGATAATAGAAGTAGAAGAAGCAGTAATGGAGATAATTATTGTCACATCAAATCAATCGAGATCATTCAAGTGTATTCTTGAAAATAGACAGATGATTATTGACAAACTTACCGTTCGATATGCATAATTCAGTTTGTTATCATTGAGCATAATTTCTGGAACTTTGAATAGAATTTTCATTTTATTAATCTAAACAAATAGAAATGATCAATTTGCATTAAAATTCTTCAATTTAAACAAATACTTTCAATACAATACAATAAACAAAAATATTATAAAATTTCTTTTCTTAAGTGAAATGATTTACTGGTCTAATTTTAATGACTAATGATTTCAAATGTGTGAAAACAACACAAACCTCGAAAACTCTGCTTGAAAATATCGTCACAGAGCTCACTAGTGACTACTGGCTTCGTGAGGAAATTCTCGGAATTCTAGTTGAGAAGACGTGACCAATGGAGTTCAACCCTGTCGGGTGTAGGCAGTAACTACCAAAGACAAATGGGTGAGGTCGCGCGAAATCCGTAGATCAATCAGAGTTAGACATTAACACCGTTGGATTCCGCCACAGTGAGTGGTTCGATGGATAGGCGTTCGTGCACAATGTCGAAGGTCCCGGGTTCAAATCCTGCGAGGTGCAGGAGTCGTGGATGCGCACTGTCACTGATGAGTCCCATAACAGGACAAAACGGCCGTCTTTTAGTGCATCCAGGTTTCTAATGATGGTCTAACAATGATTGATTGACGATTTCAAATGTGTAAATACATAAATCTCCAAAACTCTACCCGAAAATATCTAATTTTAATGTCTACTTATAGCATCCATGTAAATTATTCTAGAAGTTATTAAAATTCTTTTGAAATTTACATTTTCAACTAGATTCAAAATGTATATTTTGTCGAAATCAACTACTGAGATTGTTTGTTGTATTTAGAATAGTTAATCATATTCATTTCAATAAACAATTAGTTGAACACTTTATGAAGTTTGACTTATTTAATTCATATACACGATTACTTGATTCAAGACTACCGCAAACTGAAGGATCCGAACTCAAGACCCGAGGTCTCTCGCGCGAACGCCTAACTTCTGGACCACTGAGCTGACATCTAACGGTGTTACTGTCTAACTTCAGTCAATTCACGGAGTTGCGCAACCTCATACACTGTCTTCGGTAGTTACTGTCTACGCTCGAACAGGTTGAACTACACTGGTCTTGACTTCCCACTAGAACTCGGAGAAGACTCCTCACGGAGCTAGTCACTAGTGATCACAGATAATGGCATTACGGGGTTGTAAATATTGTTAAGTTACACATTCAGCTTGGTTTGTTAGAATATAGTTACCTACACTAATTTTGCAGACTAGTTGAGCATTGTGTAGCGTTGAAAGAATACTTAACAATTCTCTCTTTTAAAAGAAAATAATATATTTTGGAGTTTAATATAGAAAAGAATAATTCACTTACTCGTTCATTTACATCTTTTCTAGTTTGTTCATCCATCCATGAGATTTGATCTAAATGATTTTTTAGACTAGTTCTTAAAAATTTTGTCATTTTTTCTACCTAAAGAAAAAACAATAAAATATATTTGAATGTTTAAATTCCTCATGACGTTCATCTTTCACTTATCAAGTTTATTTGATCAGGTTTATACTCCTTGAATGAAATCTTCTATTAGGATATTCATCCAATATCCTAAGAGAATTATTGGTCAATTCCTATTGGTCATTTTTATGGTTGTCCTAGATATCAATGTCACGTGCCCCAATGTTGTTTCTTATTGGTTATCCTTACTATCAATGTCACTTCAAATGTTGCTTCCTATTGGGCGTCTTAACTGTCAATGTCACAGACTTCGATGCTGTTACCTATTCGACCAAAATGTATAAATACGCATTATCTGTAACTTTTTATGACCAGGACCAGGATCAGAATCTAGTCCCGGATCCCTATTCCGGGATCCTCATTTTCTTCTGGACTCGGACCTCGTACTTTCTGGATGCTTTTAGAATATAGGTTCTACTTCATATCAACTCTTCTTGTTTTTACTCGATATTTGGGGAGCTGGGATAATCGGATTTGAGTAGCATGTCATGTCGCCGGATCTTCGCTTTCATTTTCCGACTAGGTAAACTCGTAATAGTTCAAGCATATCAAAATGACGTGTTTACGTGGAGGCGTAACATCTTCAAACCCTCATATTACTGCTTATAATTCCACGACCTTTACCACTATGGAATTTAAATTGACAATTGCATTTCCATGCTATCGTGCTATAACAACTTAATCTGATATATGTACGTACAAAGTTCTACACTATTGCTAACTGACTGACTAAGAATGGAACCTAGAATCTTTAGGTCTTTTGGCTAACATCTAACTTTAAGATCATTGAACCAACATTTGGATTATTCCATGTAGAGTTTCATTCATATTTTTTACAACTAATTATAAAAGTCATCTTCATATTGTCAATGAATTTCTTGTATCTCCACAAATAACAGGGGGGCAATGTTGGAAAAATATTGAAAAAATTATTCAAGATCAGTCTGTTCAGACAGACAAAGAAGATTTATTTTCGATGAACTATACATGTTCATCGTGAATTCTTCTAAATTCAGTAAACTAGAGAAATTGAAGTTTAGAAATGATACAATCTATTCACCTTCTTTCATTATTCATGTTAATAATCATTTCAAGTGAAGTCACCTTTCTGTCTGAGAACAATTTAGCCTAGAGTAATGCTAAACTAATTCTCACTATACAATATAATCGATCATAATAAAATTTAAACATACACTGACATTTACCTCTTTTTCTGTTTCATTATGTATATGTTTTTCAGCATAAATTGCTCCCAAAACAGTTTCGAATAGTTCATGTGTTACAAAAAAGCATTCTAATTCCATAATATGTTCACTGTTATAACTGTATGATAAGTGTAACATGTAATATTCATAAGATAGATGCCATGTATACCTATCTAGTACAGTCCAAAACATGTAATTATTCATGATGCTGTAAATATAAACAAAATATTATCAAAAATAAAAACCTCAGTTATCATATTTCATTGTTAAATATCAATAAATGTAAAGGAGAGAATTTTATATGCAAAGCTTTTTAATTGATTGTTAGTGACAAGTTATTTTCAGTGATAAATCAGTGTTGAACAGTAGTAACCAATCTGCAACAGTTGAATTTCCTTACCGATATCCATTTGTTAACAGATCATATATGGAGTTGTAAAGGGACTAGAATATTTTACAATATTAAGTAAGCAAATAGTGTAAATTAGCTTACATATACAAGATGTCTATCACCATTTATATATTATAATTGTGATTTTTTTTAACTGTAGTAATGGTTTAGGAGGATTTGAATAACGTGAATATAATATTTTTAGTTGTTTTAAGTGGGAAGTATGCGTGGATGGGAGGATTTTATAGACAGCTAAACTATCTTTCCAGTATAGGAATCCTCAGTAGTTTACATCCAAGATCCTGTCAAAGGAAATGAAACAGAGGATGTTTCGTTTCGTGTCTGAAATCCATCATCCAGTGGTCAGAATTTCTAATATCCAGATCGCTTGAACACAAGTTACAGACTAATGATAAAGAAAGTCACAATTCTCGACATTCAGTGAATTAGTCTATACTCTCAGAGTATATTTTCTAATAATTCCAAACTCAAATTAACTTCAGACTATTCATTTCATAACGATAGGCACTAAGTTATTAACGATAGTTTTAAATGGTTTTTATTTATGAAAGAAATAGCTACTTTCGCGATATCATCATTACTACACATAGATGCAGTTTTTGAAAATGTAACCATTTGATAATACGTTAAATGATTATTTCGTCGTTGTTGAAGTACAAATAAAAAGTCGAAGTACACAAATTCTTTGTCTCTTAGTAAAATCAGATATTTTTTTCAGAACACAATGTTCTTTATCAGTTTTCAGAGAATAAAAACAAAAAGCCTGGGAAGAATGATGAGAAATTATTTTGTTGTGGTGTTTTGTTCTCTGAGCTGGATGCTTCGGTTATGGAGCTTTCGTTGTTTGATACTTCATTTCTATCCAAAGATTGTGCTGATGATGTTGATCAGAACAACAACGAAAGCTCCACAACCGAAACAACCAGCTCAGAAAACGAAACACCACAATCATCCACCTGAGCTACAAATTTTCTTCCCCATCTCAGAGATTATTTTATTTCGTTGAGTTTACGTTAGTTGTTCGTAATCTGTTATATTTGAAAATTATAGTTTCGAGATGGTACAGTATATCAAGGATGTAAATAAATTTAGATCAAAAAAAGTCTTGCAAATCTATATACTGCATGGAAGATCCTTTCATATAAGTGTTAGTAACGAAAGAGTGGAGTGTAAGAAACGAATGACCACGTAACGCATAGTTCGCTGATTATAAAATATATATAATTAAGTTGAACACAATTACTAGTTCAATCAAAGGATTTTACGGTGTTGTATTAGGTCTGTATTATTACAAACATACCGGTGGATAAGACACACACTGCAAAAAGCACCTAACTGCATCACAAGACAAGCCTTCACATGAAACCTCCAAGGTCAAAGGAAAAGAGGAAGGCCAAGGAACGCATTACTCTGACAAATAGAGAAAGACACGAGAAGAATGAACAAAAATTGGAAAGAATTAGAAAGGGAAGCTCAGGACAGAGTTAGTTGGAGAAAACTGGTGGGCGGCCTTCGTTCCATTGGGGGTAACAGGCGTAAGTAAGTAAGGAAGTAAAGCATCTGTTTTAACTCAGCTTTCGGAAAAACTTAAACAACTCAGCCGCTATGTATCCATTAACATCGTTTTTACTTTCCTGCATAGATAACAGTGATCTACAATACACATTACCTCTTACATTCATATCCTTGCAATGCTACACTAACACGTCTCGAACACGTTTCTCTATTGTACACCTATTATTTTATTTATTACCTATCCTTTTGTAGCACTATTTTGTGTGAAAGTAACTCCCCATATCTTATCTGTTCTTCATCGCTTTGCCCGAAATAAAATATAACCAACCCGATTGACATCGAAAACAATAATCATTTGAAATATTTCCTTTTGAAAGAAACAGTTGAATGTAGAGTTTTAGGTCATACTATTTCAGTTAACTGTGACAGCTAGTTGTTAAATTATCAACTGAATAAGATCAAATATCTAAAATGTATTTGTAATATGAAACTCAATTCACCAGAAAATTTGAAATGATCATAAATAAACCAATTAAATGCATATTTTGTGCAAAATATGTAATATAACCGTTATTATCAATCATTTATTGACATTTGAATACATTGTAGTTAAACACAAATTTTTTTATTAAAAGGTTTTTACAGTAATCAAATTAAAAATGGACTTTTCAGTATAAAAAACGTATGTTTTATGCTTGAAATGTAATGCATTATTTTTTTGAAGATAAAATGAGTTTTAGAATTTAGAGAAATGTATTTTACATGTTCATAGATGAATAATGTGAAAAGCCTCTGAGTTACAATGTAAAGTGTTGAAGTACAAAATAACTGATCTGCTTTATACGGATCATCCTGCCATACATAAAAGACATATCGGAGGATACAGCAAGACTACTGAAACTATTTGGAATAGGTGTGGCACACAAACCAATAGAATCACTTCAGTCCATCCTATGTAGACCAAAGGACAAGATGACAAAGGAAGAAAAACCAAATATCATCTACAAAATGAATTGATCAGATTGTGAAATAAAACTACATAGGACAAAGTGGACGGCCTCTTCAGCTTCGTTTACGCGAACACCAATTGAGTAGTCAAACGCCAAGACAACCCTTCGCTTATATCAATACACACCGACAATTATGGACACACATTCGATTGGGACAATATGGAAATACTGGGTAGGGGGAGGCCAAAGAACACTGTGGAATTTTTAGAAGCTTGGTATTCAGGTCAATCAGCAATCAACAAACACATCGACATTGACCCAATTTATCAAACAATCAGAAAAATCATAGGTGACAGAGGATCAAGAAACAGATCAAAAGGGGGATGCAATCAAAACAAAGGTGCAAACAACGACTAATCAAGATTGAGGTTTGCAGAACAATCCACAGGTCAAACATGGAGAAATTCGAATGCTTCACTTCTATCTGAAGTTTGTGCTGATGATGTTGTTCAGAAGGAGAACAATGAAAGCTCCACAACCAAAACACCCAGCTCAGAGAACCAAACACCACCACCACAATATATATATATATATATATATATACTATATAAAAATAAATTTTTAATAAGTTCCTGTGCTGAATTATTGTGAAGTTGTGGTCTACTAGAGTTCAGAGTTGAAACTCACAAGTCTACCATTCACACAATGCAATTAATTAATTCACTTGTAGAATGCAGAAGGTAGATGTGGTGAGATCCCCAAAACTCACTTGGAAAACGTCCTAATTTTGTAATTTTATTTTTAGAGTTTGAATTTCATATTTTCGCATCAAAGACCTTCAGCTTGTATTCCCCATTTGGGAGATCCTTGACTGTCATTGGCTGATAGATTATTTTAGTACGCTATTTTGTGCCTTTCACTAAGGGCGTTTTATCGTTGTATAAATAAGCTTGAGTTGTGTGCTTATGGGTATGGTACTTTCTGAGTGCCTGTGAAATACATTTCCGTACGTATCATCAAGACCTCGTCATCTAGTTATTAGGGCCTGGGACGATTGAATTCGAGTAGCCTGTCGTGCCGCTGAATCACTGATCTTTGTTCCGTTTTCCGGAGTAAGGTGAACTCGTAATAGCTCAAGCATATCAGGTAGGTCTGGCCTATGACTGTTTTACAAGACGCATATTTTATTCAATCCTTACATAAAATCAACAGAAACGATGAAAAAATTGAAGCTTTAGTGTCTGTTTACTTTACGGTAGTCATTAGATTTTATACAACCTTGTATTTTCCAGTCATTTATACCAACAAATGATCTTCACTTGAGTGTCAAGATAATCCACTAAAAACTGTGATGGATTATATTTGGTACTGTAAGTAGAAGCTCTAATATCGATCTGCAAAGAGTATGAACAATTTTAAAGAAAGTAATATAACGTGAAATCATGAGCAGTCTGAATGTAATGATGCTGACTGTGAGCCAAGTGATTGTTATAATGCTAATTGTACTACTTAAAAATTTATATAGTAGTTTAGTTGAATATGACAAAATATATGAAGTAATTTGTATTTGAAGTCATAGGAGAGGGAAGCATCACCAAGTGTGTTAACCATTGGCTAACTTTGCAAGGAATATCTCAGAGTTTTAGTGAGAAGCTGTAACCAGTGAAGTTCAACCTTGTAGGGTGTAGTCAACTACCTACCGAAGACGAATGGGTGAGGTTGCGCAATATAGGGGATTGATTAAAGTTAGACATTAACACCGTTGCATACTAACTCAGTGATCTAAATGTTAAGCATTCGCGCGTGGGACTGAAGGTTATGGGTAGATTCTAGCAAGCAGGATTAGTGGATGTGTACTGCCAATCAGTCCCATACAAGGATGAAGTGGCCGTACAGGTTTCTGATGGTTGTCTAACGATGTCTTGAACCATTAATAACTGTTAGGTATTTATCTGCTGAAACACTTATTTCCCAAAACTTTTCCGTTTTCAGTAAACTCAATAATATATATGAAAAGGTTAGAACTATGAGTGAGTGCATGTTACATAATCACTCTGTTTTACCAGGGATTTCATATAATGTGGAAGGAACTTGTAGCCTATAAGTGTGTCGTTACATTACCAAGACTCACTTTAAGCATGTATTTCAGTCACTGTCTGTAGTATACATAACGAGTAACTGATATAAATGTCATCACAAACAAGCAAAAATAGTACTTTTGGTTAACATGAAAAACCGTTATTCACTTATTTTTGAGTGATATGAACACAAATTGTTAGAACTAAAGTGAATTTCATTGTTTAATTGAATTATGATACTCTCATAGTATTAGGTATGAAATGAAACTTTGTAATAAGAAACAATGTGTAGCTTAAAAGGAGCATGTCGACTAGTTATTTTTCGCTAACTGAATGATGAAGCTCAGAAAACACTAAAATCTGGCTTTTTTCACTAGAAAAATGTAAAAACCTGATAAAATCACATTTGAGGAAACTTGATTCAAATTTTTGACCTCAAATAATCTCCATTTAAAATAGAGAGCACTCAATTAAAAAAAACAACTTAAAATCTTCCCAACCTACTAATATAAGTCAATCATAATCATTATGCATACAGGTCGAATAGTCAGTAGGTTGTTTTATCAGTTTGCTGGTACATAATTAATTTACCTACTGGCAGAAAAGATGTTAGTTGGATTTGTGTTTTAGATGTAACCTTTATAAAAACATATATAGATATGTAAAGGTCATCTATGAAGAATCGTATCGACTATACATTTACATTTCCATTAATGAATTTATGATTAAACTTCTTTCTGTTTTCTTTCAATAATCTTTACTTTTTCTATTGTTTATTTATTTAACTGTTGAAGTTTTTTTTCATTCGATTCGGTTTTTTTGCAGTAAATATCAAAACCTACTGTGCATTTATATGTGCATATATGTATTTTCAATTAAATGCCTTTCCATTAAATCAGTCATATTAACATTGAATTGAAAGACTATGGAATTCACCTTGAAAGGAATGTAAATGAATATATATATATATATATATATATATATATATATATAATAATCAGATGAAAACTATATTCCACATTTAACAGGTCAGCCCTACACATAGTGAAATTATCCATACACTTTATAAATATTTGAATTTTTTATTTTTCATTATTGTTGTTGAAATTAATTATAAACAAAATACAATCAATCTTTATTAGACCACCATTAGAAACATGGAAGCACTGAAACACGGCCGTTTCATCCCGGTATGGGACTCGTCAGCACGCATGACTCTTGCACCTACCGGGATTCAAACCCGGCACCTTCGGTATTGTGCGCGAACGACTAACCATCGGATCACTGGGCCGTTATCCAACGGTGTTAATGTCTAACTCTGATTGATCTAGGGATTTTAAGCGACCTCACCTAGTGCTTCCAGGTTTCTAATGATGGTCTAACAATGAGTGATGATTGATGATTTCACAAAGTGTGAAAACATCAAACCTCCAAAAACTCTGCTTGAAAATAAATTGTTCTGTCAATTTATTGTAATTTCATTGTTTATTTTTGAAAAGACTATTTGAATCTATTCGTTGAATCGAATCAATGAAAAGCATTCAGTTCTTGCTATTCCCAGTTTTCGAATGTTACATCATACTGTTTATAAGTGAATAATTGGTTCAAGTTTTGAATTATTTTAGTATATTTTGAGATGATGGAGAAAAATTTGTAGCTCAGGTGGATGATTGTGGTGGAGGTGGTGTTTAGTTCTTTGAGCTGGTTGTTTTGGTTGTGAAGCTTTCATCATCAGTACAAACTTCAAAACAACGACAGGTTTAAGGTCAACAACAACAACTAATCAAGATCAAGGTTAACAGAACAAGCTACCAGTCAAACGTGGAGAAATTAGAATACTTCACTTCTCCTATCTGAAGTTTGTGCTGCTGATGACGTTGTTCAGCAGAAGAACAATGAAAGCTCCACAACTAAAACAACTAGATCAGAGAACCAAACACCACCACTTTAGTATATGTTATATAAACCTGTTTTTACAATCTGAGCTCGCTATCTACTTTCATTTTCACCGAGTATAAGAACTATTTAGTCATTATTGATCGTGATTGTTTGAATGTGAAACGCCATGCATTAGGATAAAACAAGTTTCTGCAAACTAGATTCATTCAAATTTACGCAAAATTACTTTTGTTTTAAAATACACATATATTCCAGTAGGAAAAAACATTCAGTAAGTACAACAGTATAAACTTACCGATCAGCAACAGGTTTTGTAAAATTTCTTTTTATAGTATCAATTAATATAGGAAATTTTTGTAAATAATCTAAATATCGCGTATAAACAGGATAATCGGAATCAAAGACAGTATAAGTCTCGTCAAAATAATCACTTAATAAACCAGACCAATCGTATGCATTTCCATTGACATTTAAATCGCCAAGTTTATATTTTTGTGACCATTTCGATGGAGATTTACTTAAATAAATCTATAAAAAAATCCCAAAATAGAAAATGAAACTTAAATAATAATATTATTAATAATAATAATAATGATAGAAACTACTTTTTTATTTCTATTTATCCAATGATATAGAGAAATCGATAAGCATTCAACACTATCTGGGCAATCAACATGTATCCGTTTGCTTTTGAACGAAATAATTCAGGTTTGCACACTGATTTTATTGAGAAAAAATTTAGAGCGATATTTGCAATGCAAATCTGTAACTTGTCTAACAAATAAGAAATTACCTCTTTCTCTTTCATTAAAAAATCGCTTCTATTTACCAAATTTATCGGAAAAAATTTGACAGTAAGATATACTACTTAGTTTGATGATTGGTTACTGATAAGTAGTTAATATTATTTTAAAGGAAAAAGCAAAATTCTCCGATCCGACATGACACGCACCAACCAAATCACTCTTGATGGAGATGCCTTGGATGACACTAACACCTTTACATATCTGGGCAGCATCATCGACAACCAACGTGGATCCGATGCAGATGTGACGGCACGGATTGGCAAAGCAAGGGCTGCATTTCTACAACTGAAATTTATCTGGAACTCCAAACAACAACCAACCAAAAGCAAAATCAGCATTTCCGATACAAATGTCAAGACAATTCTACTGTATGGAGCGGAAACTTGGAGAACCACGAAAGCCATCATCCAGAAGATACAAGTGTTTATTAACAGTTGTCTATGCAAAATACTTCGGATTCGTTGGCCAGACACTATCAGCAACAACTTACTGTGGGATAGAACAAACCAGATTCCACTGGAAGAGGAAATCAGGAAAAAGCGGTGGAAGTGGATAGGACACACATTACGATAAGCACCTAACTACGTCACAAGACAAGCCCTCACTTAGAACTCTCAGGGCAGAAGGAAAAGAGGAAGACCAAGGAACACATTACTTCGAGAAATAGAGAAAGATATGAGAAGAATGAACACAAATTGGAGAGAACTAGAAAGGGAAGCCCAGGATAGAGTTGGTTCGAGAAAACTGGTTGGCGGCCTATGCTCCATTAGGGGTAACAGGCGAAAGTAAGTAAGCAAGTAAGTATCCTCTGTGGATATTGACCTGAAATTAGTTATTTTATGATGCAATGATTCGATCAGTGAATTGTCACCTTTTTTGAAATTATGCATTGGTTCTTTGTTCACAAAACGGTGTTTTTTTTGATGAATACATAAAAAAATAGTACATTCTCTAACATGGCTGATGATGAATTTTATTTTTTGTGAAGACTTCTTTCTAGATTGTCTAGAAACTAGTCTAGTGGTTTTAATCAGTAAATCAAATGAACTATATAATTGATGCCGAGTTGTTGGTTTGTGTTGGTTTGGTAAAACAAAACATGTAAATAAGATCTTGTTACAATGTATGTAGCAGGTGTTTAGTTAGGTTGCTATTTCCTTTTTTTAAAAAAAACCTTGTCTAAATACAAATTTAATTATTCTGTTACATTTACAGGTGTACAAAATTCAATTTCATTTTTTTTCTAAATTGAATTTTTTTTGAGGCACTTCACATGGATTATTTTTGTAGTAAAACAAATGATCGAATTACAAAGATGCAATTTGAATGATAAATAACAAAACGACATAGAATTTCCTTGATAATTAAACCAGTTCGCAGTTATGTTTATTGTTGGTTCTCTTTCACACATCTGACCGTTTAATTTCATCTATTCTTTCTGAGATCTGCTTCGAATTTTCAAGTTTTTACTCTAGAAATGATATATGCTTTACCTAATTTCACTTCTCGTATAGTTATGTCATTTTAACTGTTGTGATATGGAGTATGTCAACTGGTATAACGCACATTCGGAGTAACGTTTATCACGACAGTACTGTAAGATGCGTTTTGAAGACGTTGTTTGTGAAAATCCTTTCATGAATATACATTTGTAATTCGTTCTTATTGATTCCTTCAGTTGTACATTTTGTTAGTCTGATCGATTCCATTTCGGAGATGCTAATATTTGTATTTTATGAAAGCTTCTATTTCTTCCGCCTTTACTAAGTTTCTATGTTTCTTTCTGAACTGCATTTATGTTGTTTAAGCTGATACTTAACCATGGCGACAGCCATATTGATTTGTTCCTCCTTTGATTGTGTTGCTTGATCGGACTGGAATTGTGCATTTTGAGTGTGAATTGAAGCACCCTCCCAGAATAGGAAACACTGTGTGTTATAAAGCAACTAATCTGATCTATCCAGAAGGGATAGAATATCAGTTATATGTTGCCGTTGATTTGAATAATTGAACAATCGTTGGTGGAATAACTGAGTAGTAATATTTGTTTAGTTAATGATGTACATTTACCCAATCACTTTGTTTTGGTTTTTAAACTGGGCAATAGCGCGTATCTAAACTATCTAGACAGTGATTCTTCAATCCAAACTGAAGTTTGGATCCTACAAGCACGTTCATAGAAAATTCATTTAAAATTAAATAGCACTTTATAGAGGTTTAGTTCTAGGTTCCGACTGTTCATTATCAGCTCTTGCTCAAATCAGTCATGTTCAGTTCATAAACCAAAAGTCAAATGAAGTATCTTTATATTTTCAACTTTATATGCCTCATGAATTTGTATGATCAGAAATAATAATCAACAATGTCAACTGTTTTCTCACAGTCTGATTCATTCTCGAATTCCTTAAGGTGTTTATTTAAATAACCTATTTAAATAGTCCGTCAATGTAGACAAATTCTGTTGCTTGACTTGTACATTGAATACCTTTGAAGAATTAAGTACTTAAATAAGATTTTATTTTAATTTTCTACCTCTTTTATAGCGGAAAATATAAAAAACATTTGACACTGTCTTGAATGGTATTTACCCATGATAAAAATAAACATTCATCTCTTTGAATCCATCTCATTAAAGATAAATTCTAGCAATATTCATAAATTACAATTTCGGATTCAGTGTTTAAGACTATTTATTATTATTATCCTTGTGAAAACTATGCTTTGTTCATTCAGTACGATTCAGCAGATTTTTCAGTACATTTATTCAACAATGTTTTAAATATTGGGCATTTTCTATTTAGAAATCAACTCCAATCTATAAATTTTATTCAAATTCTTAAAATTAAAATAAAATCGATTTATATTGGTCATTTGAATCTCCTAACTAACGATTCCGAACTAAGACAAAACGCACGTCCCCTATTTCATTGCTATCCACTAGCCATTTCTGTTAATAAAGTTTGTAACTTAAGGACAATATTGAAACAATGCTCTCAGAATGTATATATGCCGATGTGACTGATCAGTGGCAAAAATTATTTAATTTTCTCTCAATCTCCTAAGCCATTGACTATCTAAACTCAATAGCTAAGTGAGAAATGTGATAACGTTCGAAGTACATGGTAGGAGGGTTTGAGTCCTGACGCAAACATTAACTTCTAGATGCAGTTATAACCATTTGACAAGTTCAAACTTGAACAAAATGTGCATTGTAGATTTCATCACCATTAGTCTCTATCTATCTACACAAATAAAATATTATTTTCCCTTGAATCTGTGTTAATTTCAATTAAAATTTGTTTGTTTAAAATTCATTGTACACAAAAACAAAAAATAATTTCATGGAAAAAAATGTTGTATTTCATTTCAAGTTCGCTTTATTGTTTAAAATTATTCTTTCTTAAATTACTACACTGAATTGAATGTAATTTATTTGGAGTAAACACTGCTTGGACAGGTATCATATAACTTGACGTCATTAAACACAAAAAAATGATCAGAAATTAAAAATTTATAAATATGCATTCATTATTTAATTAAAAATAAAAAAGAAATAATTATTATATGATTACATTTTCAATGGAATACCATTTTTTCATTGTTCATTGTTCAATTTTCAATGGGGTATAGAATGTAACAGGTTAATTTAAATTTGATAACGTGACTAGTAGTACTCTACTTATGAACATAATAAATATTAATTAGGTCATAATAAGTAATATATGACGCGAGTAAAAACGTAATGTCTGGCAGCAGAAGATTGGGGAAGATCAAGAAATGAAGAGCCGGAACACAATGGAATTTGTATGAAATGCATGAATAGTGAGTGAAATGTCAGATAATGGATTGATGATGGATTGAAGATTTGCAAATTAATCGTTTACGAGATATCGTTTACTAAGTAACTCTGTAATTTGCGATAAATACAATTCAGTTGCCCTCACCTGTGTTCTCCTTCACTACATAAGTAGTTCGTCATGAATTTTGCTTTGACTACTTTACATTTTCACCGATACATGCAAAGTAGGTTCGATAGTTATCGATTTCATATTAGTGAAATGTTTCACAGATTGTGATGTAGTAGATTCATTTGAATAGGTCAATCCTTCTTAAGCACAACTTTCATTTTCATCGGTTTACACTTACGTCCAACCCTATTTCTTTAATATATTTTCTAGCTCAAACAAAACCTGGCATCATTTTTCTCAATATCTTTGTTTTAACTGTATCGACATTGACTCAACTTGTCAAGTTTCTATTTTTACTTTATATTCCCTGTTACAATGAGAGTTTGTATTTTTAACACGTGAAGTTTTTTTAGCCATTCATGTGTTGATATCTCCTCCAAAGATTTATGATTCTCATCTCCATTAGACAGATTAAGTCAATAGTGATTGACTGATCAATCACGAAAACCATTTTATCTCTTTTGTCTTCAATGTTACTAACACTGTGTGCATTTTCAATTCACCTTCTGCTTACAGTATTAATGTATGTATATATGAGAGACCATAAAGTGAGAAGAATAATTCACTACATGCCAAATGTTAGATGTCTGTTACTGATACCATTGAATAATGATAGAGAAACAACACTAAGTGAGAAAACCACTAGATGTAAGCCCTAAATGTTAATCCTCTTCGCTTAGATCTAATATTTGCTTAGCATGTGGATACCTACACACACTAAAAACAGTTGTCAGTGTCAAACTGTTGAGCATCTCACCGAATCTTATACTCTTTACTGCTGTTGAATTTTAATGGGAAAAACATTGTAAACTAAACAACAGTTGTATTTTATATATAACCAAAAATAAACATATTATACATACATACCTTTTTCATTTCTTTTGATACTAATTTTAAATCTTCCGAAAATATTCTCATACGTTCTTTGTATTCTTCATTTCCATACGGAATACCAGCATCTTTGGCTAATACTTCAAGCATATCACTGACATATGTTTCAATCTTGAAAATATAAACAGAACAATAAAAAATGCATGCATTTTACAATAGTACATGTTTTTCAGAATACAATTTTCAAGTACCTGAGAATGTATGTATGTATGTATGAAATGCAATGTCAGTGGAATAAAATGAATTTTTATCAGCTAGCTAAACACTTAAACAAATGTACCTCAACATAATTATTAATATTATTTCAATATTAACAACTGTCTATTGTAGAATAGTAGAAGAATTCTGAAGAATTTTTAATTTTGAAAACCTTAAATGGATTTTCAATGTTATTAGTTGAAATAATTCTACAGTGTTAAAAAATATTTTAATTTATTAACAGGGTCCGAAATTATTGATGTAAAGATATTTCGAATAGAGTTGACATTACGGAGTTGTTGTGAAGATTGTTAAGTTTTATTTGAAACTATGAATCGTCCTATACCAGGACGAAACGGCCGTCTTTTAGTGCTTCCAGGTTTCTTCTAATGGTGCGGTCTAACATTGATCGATTCATGGTTTTAAACAAAACTTAACAATCTTCACAACAACCCCGTAATGCAGATTACCTGTGCTCACTAGTGACTAGCTTCGTGAGGGATCTTCTTTGAGTTCTAGTGGAAAGACGTGACCAATGAAGTTCAACCTGTTCGGGTGTAGGCAATGTCTACCAAAGACTATGTATGAGGTTGCGCAACTCCATGAATTGACTGAAGTTAGACATTAACACCGTTGGATGCCGACCCAGTGGTCTGATGGTTGGGCGTTCGCGCGCAATACCGAAGGTCCTGGGTTCGAATCTTGTGGGGTGCAGGTGTCGTGGCTGAGCACCCCTGAGGAGTCCCACACACCAAGTTAGACATGAACACCGTTAGATACCGGCTCAGTGGTCCAATGGTTAGGCTTTCGCGCACAATACCGAAGGTCTTGGGTTCGAATACTGCGGGGTGCAGGAGTCATGGATGCGCACTGCCACTGATGAGTCCCATATTAGGACGAAATGGCCGTCTTTCTGTACTTCCAGGTTTCTAATGGTGGTCTAACATTGATCGATTCATGGTTTCAAATATAATAGAATTGAGTTATAACCAAAATACAATTTAGGCTATTCATCGAACTGTGATGATTTACCCATTAGTCTTTTTGAATAGAAAGTTAAGGATAATCATCTGTGTACTAGAAATTTCTTATAAGCAGAATAATATTGTTTATTGATAATTTAACTGTACTGACATTGTGTTACTTTTTAAGCAGGTAATATGCAACAACACTATGAAGAATGTTTTGTTCCCTAATATAAAAATTCATCAAGTAGATACTTTAAGTTGATTTATTTTCATTTATATCTTTTCCTATTTCTGAAAGATCTTGGTTTCGATCACTTATTAACTCCTGTTACCCCCGATGGAGCGTAGGCCATGCGCCAGCATTCTCTAATCCACTTTGTCTTGGAACTTCCCTTCAAGTTCTGTCCAATTTTTGCTCATTCTTTCCATGTCTGTCTCCGTTTCTCGACTTAATGTATTTTTCAGTCTTCTGCCTTTCCTTTGGCCTTGAGCGTTTTAAGTGAGGGCTTGTCTTGTGATGCAGTATGATGCCTTCTGCCATGTGTGTTTTATCCACTCCCAGAAATTCTTGCTGATTTTTTACTCCGCTGGAATCTGGTTCGTTCTCTTCCACAGTAGGTTGCTGCTGATGGTGACTGGCCAGTGGATCCGAAGTATTTTACGTACATAACTGTTAAGATACACTTGTATATTTTAGATGGTGGCTTTGGTAATTGTCCAAGTTTCTGTCTTGACACCTATACTGAAGAGTTTGACTTTGGTGTTTGTTGAGAGTTGTTTTGGGTTAGTTGCTTTGCCCATCCGTGCCCTCACATTTGCATAAGATCCACATTGCTCGTCAATGATGCTGCTGAGATATGTAAAGCTTTTTACGTCCTTCAAGGCATCTCGGGAGTGATTTGGTTGGCACATGTTGTGTTGTATTGGATGATCTTTCATTTTCCTTTACGTAAGTTGAGACCTGCTGCTGCCGAGGATGCTGCTACACTGGTCGTCTTTTCTTGATTTGCTTTTGTGTGTGAGGCAGATCATCTGTCTTCATAGAACCGTTGTTCTTACAGTCTGCACCCTCATTTCTCTAGTGATTGACGTCACTGATTGACAAAGCAAGGGCTGCATTTCTACAGTTGAAAAATATCTGGAACTCCAAACAAATTTCAACCAAAATCAAAATCAGCATTTTTAATACAAATGTTAAGACAATTCTACTGTATGGAGCGAAAACTTCGAGAACTACACAGACCATCATCCACAAAATACAAGTGTTTATTAACAGTTGTCTACGGAAAATACTTTGGATTCGTTGGCCAGACACGATGAGCAACAACGTACTGTGAGAGAGAACAAACCAGATTCCAGTGGAGGAGGAAATCAGGAAAAAGCGGTGGAAATGGATAGGACGCACACTACGAAAAGCGCCTAACTGCGTCACAAGACAAGCCCTCACATGGAACTCTCAAGGTGAAAGGAATAGAGGAAGGCCAATGAACACATTACGCCGAGAAATAAAGAAAGACATGAGAAGAACAAACAAAAATTGGACAGAACTGGAGAGGGAAGTCCAGTACAGAGTTTGTTGGAGGAAACTGTTGGGAGGCCTATGCTCCATTGGTGGTAACAGGCATACGTAAGTAAGTAAGTAAGTTAGTTAGTATTTTGTAGTTTTTAAAAATAAATCCATAAAATTTAAATGTAAATGCAACTCGTTATAGCAACCACATGTTACTACATAAAATATCAGAGTTAAAAACTAGATATTAACATTGACATCTATGGTGGTCTTCATACATATCTATGTATATATGCCTTGTAAGTACTGTTCTACTCTTTTAACACAAATTCAACTTGACCAGTAGTGTTGAATAGTGAGAACGTTTGATATGCTTTGAATAGATTTTTTTCACAAAATAAAACGGAAGTTACTTTAACAATGAACATAGTTTTTTTTAAATTTATTTTTTCCTCAGAAAACAATTTATGTAGTGAAAAAATTAAGAGATAAAAATACTGCTTGTTAGTTTGGCTTAGATTATTATTGAAGGGATACCCAATGGATTAGATTAAAACATCTCTTGATATTGCAGTCATTTGTTCTGTTACAAATTTTACATTGAGAAAAATTTGTATTTTCATTATACTGACAAGTATGATGAAAATGTGGTGTGACATTTTAGAGAAATAACTATTTTCCAATGGGATTTTCAATGTGTAGAAGCTAGACATTCTGAATTTTGTTCGAAGAAGTTTCCATCAGTCATATGGAGTATCAACAATCATTCAAATGTTAAAACATTTTTTTAATATAAATTTCAAAATAAATTTCAAAAACACTTGCTATTATTATTTCAGTCTCGATAATTCAAACTAACATGCTTCTTATCTCTTTAAATAAAATTTCACAAACAATAGAGATCAATTTTATCACAGTTTATTCTGCTACTTACAACGACTGATTAGAGTAGTGCATGCGGTTAGTTCGAAATCAATAATTTTCATCATTTGACATAAATTTGTTTGACAATTAATCGATTCATGGTTACAAATAAAACTTAACAATCTTCACAACAACCCCACAATGCAATTACATGTGTCCACTAGTGACTAGCTTTGTGAGGAATCTTCTCCAAGTTCTAGTGGGAAGTCGTGACCAGTAAAGTTCAAACCTGTCCGGATGTATACAGGGTATGAGGTTGCGCACCTCCGTAAATTTGATCAAGTTAGATATTAACACCGTCAGATACCGGCTCAGTGGTCGAACGGTTAGGGAGTTCGCGCACAATACCGAGGGTCCAGGGTCCAAGGGTCGTGGATGCGCACTGCCACTGATGAGTCCCATACTAGGACGAAACGGCCGTCCAGTGATCCCAGGTTTCTAATGGTGGTCTAACATTGATCGATTCATGGTTACAAATAAAACTTAACAATCTTCACAACAACCCCGCAATGCAATTAAATATACCTTGTTTTCGAAAAATGAACAATATCTACGTTTCTGTTAAAACGAGGAATATTCAGTAGAAAAAGAATTTTAAATAAATGGTGCCTTAGGCAATATTTATGACCCCACCTTTAACAGAGTAAAGTCGTGTAAACTTTCTCTGATTGTCACATCTAATGATATATACAACAATTTAATTGTATCTGTAATCTGAAAGATTATTACAATTTTAAACTTTGAGTTGATTACTATTTTTTACAAGTAATTCCAATCAAAAACTGAGATTACCGGAAATTCAACTGTAAACTAGATGCCGTTTGACCAAATGTTTATTCTAGTTTTGGTCTACTCAACAGTGAGTAAGAATAAACCTTCACAAGGTTGAACCTAAGACTAAACTGAAGCAGTGCATTTTAATCGTCTGATTTGAGACGAATATAAATGACTGATAGATACAAGTAGAGTGTCACATCACTACAAGTGATTAATAGATCTATTTGTGCGTATATATATGTGTTAATCTTTTGAAGTTCGAATAAATGTTGTTTTTAAGGTCAGAAGTTCAACACACAGCATAGCAAATAAGTGGTAGGTTGTTTATGGTAATGAAATTGAGTGACGTATGACGAAAAGTCAAAATGCAATTTACAGTAAGAACGTTTTGTGAAAAAAGCGTCAGATAATCTAAGGGTAAACTACCTAGATTGGTTATAATCTAATTGTTAATATACCTAAAATTATTTGAAACTGAAATCAATTTCGCCTCAAGTTTATTGTTTCAATAAGTAGTAATCCAGCATATTGTAGCGTGTCACGGAATACTGGAGGTGATATTAACTGACCAGAATCCCTGTTTTGAAAGTGATGAGTTTAAAGCCCGTCTAAAGTGAAGAGTGCTGCAGTGATGCACTTGTGTTGCACGACGACTTTTTACTGACTCCTAAAGTCACTAGACAGTAAGTGTTAAAGACAGTTAATCTTCACAAACCAACCTCTAATGTCAGCTGGTTCTCTTGATAATGTTGAAGAGAGAAAAGCTAGATATTAATGCAAAACAGCATGATGATTCATATTATTGCGTTAAGTTTATGTTAGCTGATTGAAAATATTTCATAATTCAGAGTTAAAATCATAGAACGGCTTGGAATTATGCAAATGAATTTGGTTGGAATTTGCTAGAATCATTTTTCAGAATGGTAGAGTGAAAATCATATGAAAAAATATGTCATACGTAGGAGAACATTTTACAATTGAGACTGAAACCGAAAGATCATTCAAATATATGTATTGAAGAACAAAGTGTGTAGAAATTCAATTCGTTAAAAATCAATATTATCGCTTCAGATAAAAGTCAATAAAATTTGACTTAACAATCGATTAATTCAACAATTTGAGAAGCATCAAATGATTCGATGAATTACAGTTTATGTTATCCGGTTTCGACTTTTAAATAATATAAAATTTAAGCAGCTAGTGATAACTAAACGAGATAACATGAATTTAAGTGACGATGCTCAAATGTGAGTTACTTCTTTCTTTGACATCTCAACCCAGTCCAATTAAGTCAGGTTAATGAATGCTGATTACGCACGCAAGTAGTTCTATCACTCCACCTTTTCACACATTGAAATCATGAATCAATCATTGTTAAACTACCTTTAGAAACCTGAAGGCACAAGACGACCGTTTCGTGTTATAGTATGGGATTTATCAGTAGTACTCATCCAGGACTCGCGCAGACGGCAGGACCCGAATTCAGGACTCGCGTTCAAACGCTAAACGTCTAGACCACTGAGCCGGCATTTAACGGTGTTATAATGTCTAACTCTGATCAGTCGACAATACAACATCTTATCTTCGTAATCGATTGAAAATAACACATAAACTTTCCCTAGGTACAACGAAATATTCTAACCATATGAAGTGGAACAAAACACCATAGATAGAAATGGCATTCAATTCTTTTTCGCCACATAATTTGAATGACATTGTATTGCTTATGTGGGAAAATTTTAATGAAGAAAAACTAATATTCGGACAAAATAACCAACAAGTTTCTGCTATTGAATTACAGAAATTTACTTATATAAAATTCAATTAATTATGCTGTGGTTAATTCAATTAACTTATAATTATTAAATGTAATTTCGTTCACCATTTTAAAATCAGCAAGAATGCTTGCTATATATAAATAGATATTCATGAATCTATGAATTGTTATAGGAATGATTGACTGAAATGATGTTATCCTGAAATAGATCAGTTGAGAACTCTAAGTTTTACATCAATATGAATCAATCTGTGAACATCATGTCCTTATTTTGAACTTGATAAGTTGCAATACAACAATTAAAATTCTACTGTTTTGGTAATTTTTTGTTTTAAAATACTCAAAAATGTTTTGTGTTACATGTCATAATGTTAGTTAGTGTACAGCTACTGCATCACACGGATGAACAAAATGATCAATTTTACCCCACAAGTAAAACAATCATTAATTGTACTCATACAAATTAACATTTACAATAAAATGTAATAACATGACAATAGCTACCATACTGTACCTAGCTGATTTCACTTTATATTCATGAAAATTTAAAATTCTACCTACTCTGAGTTTCCGTTTTATAGTGGATTACAATGTGTATTAGCATCGTATACTTCTTGTACGAAAGAAACTCAAATGCTTATCAGTGAATGTTTGTTAAATTAGATAGTAACAACTTTTAAATTAATGAGTCCCTTTTATAAATTTTGATAGATTAGTGGGGAGACGTAATTGATCTGAAAATAAGTGATGTGTTTTGCGCTGTACATGTTTTGAACAATCTGATCACACACATATACACACTTGTCAAGGCATTTTATATGAAGATTAATAATAGGTCAATCAAATATATGTTCGAATCGTTAGTGAAGGAGAGAGAAAATTACCGTAATATAGAAAGAATATGAAAGGTTACGAAATTGTCACAAAACCCCCATAGGCAATAAAATGGCTTAATAATCACCAGGGTACTCTTTAGGAGGGGTTTAATTTACGAATATTAACATAACAATAATAAAATTATTTTTCGTTTGTGCAATAACTGGAGTATATTAGTGTGAGTTATTGATTCATTGGAAACCATGAATAATCGACCAATCTTAGACCACCATTGGAAACCTGGAAGCACTGGACGGCCGTTTCGTCCTGGTATGGAACTCATCAGTGGTAGTGCGCATCCACGACTTCTGCACCCCGCAGGATTCAAACTCAAGACCTTCGGTCATAACCTCTTGACCACTGTTGATAGAAAGCTAATTCATGTTTAACAAGATGATGATTTCATACTTTACGGTTGTTTATTTCTTAATTCTATACATCAGATGAATATACCTTGTGGGTCTAATCACTTATCATAGTTTTAACTGAATAAAAACTGTTAACCATGTACATTGATATGTTTACATTTATGTAAAGATTAAATCCATACAAATCTTATCCCAAAATTTACAGAAATTTCTTTTTGGAAAGCAAATAATTAAGTTTAAATACACACCTAATAACAGAAACATTAAATTAAACAAATTTACTTCATCAAGTCTAGACAAAACAATACTGTCAATGTTTTAATTTATCAAATAACTATCAAGAAAGGTAAGGTAAGGTAACTAATTCACGTAAAATTAGTGCCTTCTTGACACACTGAATATCATATAACTAAGTTTTGAGAAAACGAAAAGCTAAAATTTTCGTCAAAATTTAGCTGTGGTTTAAGTTGGATACCCTGATTCTTAAAAGAAGGTTGGTTTTATTGAATATTATTATAAGTGTATGTACTATCAAATACGAAATTGAACTGTTTTCATTTAGACGATCTCAGATATCAGAAATGCAACTTGAGACCATTTACAAGAGGTTAAGTCAGTTCCGAGCTACTCAGCTACTCTCTAGGTTGCATGGCAAGTGATGCAGGTTACATCCGTTTTAAATTGTGTTCAATCATTGACATCACTGATTGTCATGCATTTTTTTATTTTGAGATACGGAAACGGGTGATAGGAAAGAATGGCAGATCAATAGATGAAGTGCTGAAACTTCATCAATTGAGGTGGTTGGGACATGTGCAACGTATGCCTAACCACCGACTGCCTCGATGAGCTTTGTTTTGTAGTTTGGCAATAGGTTGGAAGAAAGCTAGTGGCGGCCAAACCAAAACATGGCATAAATCTATGAAGTCATCGGCGAGTGGAATGAGTCATGTCGGTAGTTGTAGACTACCTGATTGGGGTCCGCGAGATGATAATAATCGATGGTTAGATACCTTGAATGACATGGCTCGAATTGTTTGCAATGGCGCTGGTGCATTTATTTTTTGTGTTCTCTCAAATCCTAATCTTCTGGATTATTCAACACCTCTACTTTTGACCTTCTAAACTTTCCTCACGGAATCATACTTCTTGAATAATATCTTCTAATCCTAACCTCTCCGATTACTTCTAATACCTTTACTACCTCTACTACTATTATGGGATTTGAATTGACAATTACATCTCTGTGCTGATGTGGTATGGCAACATGAACTGATGTACTTACGTACGAAGTTCCACGTTGCATCTGACTGACTGACTGATTTCTGTATTTTATAGTTAGTTGACTAAATATTGTCAGATGTATGAAAAAAAGTTATTTCATAACTTAACAGTGAGTGACTTACCATATATTCAGATAAATGACCCATCGCTACAGGATCAGGGGACAGCTGAAAAGATAAAATAATAATAACAATAAATAAAATAAGTAAGTTGAATTAAACTTAACAAGATCTTTGCTTTCAATTAAAATCTTGCCAAAGCAAAACTCTGCTATTCCTCACAAAAACTAGACCACACCAAATCATAGGTGTGTATTTTGTTAACCTGTTTCATTCATGACGAATAGTTTTTCTGTGCTATGCACAATTTCTAAGATAATTCAAAATTCCCGCAGATCAAAACTCTCTTAAATAGCAAATTATCATCTTCATGATAACCATTTCCGGTTGCATGACAAGATATTTTATTAGTTTAGGGAGTACGTCACTATTAAATGACCATGTCATGTTAGTAATCACTGTAAAATATATTAACATGTCCAATTAAAGTTATTAATTCTGTTTCCTATCAAATGATTTATTGCACTAGAGTACTTATCTTTCATTTTGAAGTATCACTCTGGATAAACAAATCATTAAAAGTAATTGTTTTCTGTAAGAAAAAAACACATTCCGGTTGCATTAACTAATTAAGTTGTTAAATTATTTTGCAAAGCAATGGAATTGAGAATTTCAAATCAAACAAGTGCCATATGAGTCTATTTATTATCAATGAGGAATTTATCATTTTTTACACATTTGAAATCATAAATCAATCAATGTTAGACCACCATTAGAAACCTTGAAAGCATTGGACGACCGTTTTGTTCTGCTATGGAATTCATCAGTGGCAGTGCACACCTACGACTCCTGCACCTCTCAGGACTCCAACCCTGGATCTTCGGTATTGTTCGCGAACGCCTAACCATCGGACCACTGGGCTGGCATCCGACGGTGTTAATGTCTAACTCTGATTGATCTAGTGATTTAGCGCGACCTCACCCATTTGTCTTTGATAGTTACTTCCTACACATACCCGACAGGGTTGAACTCCATTGTTCAACTCAACTAGAACCGCGAGAATTTCCTCACGAAGTTAGTCACTAGTGAGCACTGTTACAATATTTATCTCTGCTTTGATTAGTTTTTTCAAAAAATTCTGTCTATCCTTATTCATAATTTTCTTCATTGATTTTTGTCATTCTATTCAATCTTATCTTGAATAAAATTTAAAATCATCTTTAAAAACATGTGTTGCAGCAGCTAATTATTTATTTTTTCGTTTGTTTAAAATATCACATGTTTCAAAATTGAACATGGAATGTGAGTTCAATGAATTTCAAATTAGAAATGATTTAAGATTATTTATTATTTTCCGAAATGATATTAAAAACAATTCTCCATGAAAAAGAAATCAAATCTTAGTCTCAATTCGATGACCTCTGATAATGATGTCTATTGTAATCATGTGTGTGATAATGACGACATTGTTTAGCCTTTGATTTTTCAAAGTTTATTCGCCCAACTATATATTTTTTGTTTTGACCGATTAAATGTACATAGACAGAGTAGCTTATTTTTTGACACATTTGTTGATTGTGCGGTGATGTGAATCGATCAATTAAGCAAGTAAGTGTATATTGTCTCGTTCATTTTGAGCCGTTTCATGAACGTTTATATGTTGTTGATAAAAATATTGACTTTCACGGATGACATTAGTGTATGGCGTCTATCGTGATCATGAGATTTATGCTTGTAAAGCATATGATAGTCACACTGTCTACTACTGGTTCACAGTCTGTTAATTACAGTTTTGGATATTTAGGAACATGTGTAAACTATAGAAGTTGTTTATGGTCAATTTTGATGACATCAGAAACAAAAGAAATAAGTCAGTCACTCTGTATATTTTTAAACACATATAACTACGGAAATGTTTAAGTCATGAGTTGTGCTTTCAGAATGTAAAGTTTTCCAAATGAAAATATGATAAGAACAGTTAAACAGTTAGTTGGCATAATGAAATGACCTTTTTCTCCTAGATAAGTCAATCAAAATCTATCATAACGACCTACGTTTGTTCGTGAATGTAACAGAATCCTTATGAAAAACATTTCTCTATGAATCATATTAAATTACTTTTTATTTTGGGTATAAATATAACTGATAATAAAAAGATTAGTATTTCAAAATCGTTAAGAATTACTGTCCGAAGTATACAAAAGACATTATTTGGGATAATTTTGATTACTATTACTCTGAAGAAATCCAAACAAGCATTAAATTCAGGATTATTAATGTGATAGCTACTGTTATTCAGAAAGCCTGCCGACCTGTGACAAACATACTCATTCGTAAATAAGTGCCATGATTTCTGGATTGTTGCTATCGACTGTGTGGTCTACCAACCTTTCGACATTTCCGAATCCTTGAGACTGTACTAAAAAACACAAAATTTGTGCTTAACGACATTTATTGCTTCATACTAACTGATGTAGAAGATGTTAAGTATCCGAAATGATCATTATTTTTCATTTTCTTGAGGTCTAACAGTGCAACTGTTTAACCTTGTTGTTCTTCATCTCCTTTTTGTGTTTGACATTATGTATTGGTATCTGTTTTCATCCAATTCTCATGTTATATCGTAAAGACGTCTTAAAGCTGTTGATAATGCACATAGTCGTCTATTCCTATATGAGTACATTAGAGTTTGGAAGATGTTGCCGTTATAAAAGACAGAATATAGACAGCAGCCTAACTGTAATTTGTACACTGTAACACTCATACTGTTTTGGTGAAACCAGCCCTAATGAGTAAGACTTCGGTAAACTATTCAGACCTCTCAACAGCAGTTGGTGTGTTCTTCAGTCGATGTATAAGTTTAAATTATTGAAAATTTCATTCACTGAGATTACTTCAAATACAATTTTCAAAGATAATGACTTCACTGACTGCTGTTAACTAATCAACAACCCTTAATAAATATAGTTTACTGAAAGATATTCATAGGATAAAGTAAAAAGAGCTAACTTGGCTGATAGTTTCATAACAGAACTATACTATTCGATCATTGATCCTTAATGACTTCAAATATCAATGGAAGATTATGAAATCAGTGATTTTGAAGTGTTCAAAACTGTTTTCTTTACATTGTTCACAAATATTTGTTAGTTTTCATGACTGAATTTTTAATCTGTCTCTGTTCACTTTTAAAGATCGACAACTGTGAAAATATGAACACTTACAAATGAACATTTTCTGTGTAGCACAATGACATTTGAAGTGAAAGGTGCTCAGTTCGAGTATCTTGATGTTAATATCGTAACTGTAATACAAGTAACATATAACTGAATTATCTTAAACAAGTTGAAATATATTCACTGAATTTCATTAACAACTTCAGTACTAAAAAAATTGTTGTGAATAAAATGTAGTCCGATATTTGACACCTTATTTTCGAATGAGATACAACAAACAGAAGAGACAGTATACAGTGAATGAGTATGTATTGATTGATATGTGGTAAAAAAATTAGGTTACATTTGTCAGTGAATGATTACTTCAGGCCAATCAATAATTAAGTTGAGCTAAATTTAGAAAAAATTAAATTATTTTGTCTGAATTCGATCGAAAAATTTAGGTTAATATCGTTTTTATATGTACAGTGATCAAATTTGTGCATGAAACCTTCTTTTTTTCAGATGAAATGATTAACTTTTTCATTTGAAATTATCAATCAATCATTTTTAGACCACCATTAGAAATCTGGAAACACTGAAAGACGGGCGTTTCATCCTGGTATGGGACTCATCAGTGGCTGTGCTCATCCACGACTCCTGCACCTCACAGTATTCGAACCCAGGACCTTCGGTATTGTAAGCGAATGCTTTACCATCGGACCACTGAGCCGGCATCTAACGGTGTTAATTTCTAACTCTGATTAATCTATGGATTTTGCGCGACCTCACTCATTTGTCTTTGGTAGTTACTGCCTTCACCCGACACATAGGAATATTCAATTGTCAATTATGAGATCTAATTAAATCATTATTCTTTGGTGTGGTTCCGAAGATAAGTGACTTGATGAGAATGAGTATTTTATTGAACAATAAATACTCAAAACTAGTTGATAAGATATTTGGCTTGTAGTAACTTATGCGAACATTGAGCCTAGTATAGCTTTCTGTCCATAACACTTCAAGTATATAGCATTGAAACAATACGAAAAGGAATCTCTTATTCAGTAGATATCATTTAGTAAGTGAATTCCGGTTAGCTATTTTTGGGTGAGTTGGTTTTCTACGGATGGGATCACCAACCCCATGCCCAACCCTCCTCATTTATCCGGGCTGGAGACCAGCAGTAACCATAAAATGGCGTAAGGCGACATCATTAATAAAAGAAGGTGTATCTGATGTAGAAAATGAACAATAGTTTAAACAATGATTATTTAGACCTATCAACTATTTCATTTCAACTTTTTTCCTAATGATTTATGCATAAAAATAAATTTGATTTTATTTCAAAATTCTCATTTATCTTTCATGATATTTACATTTAGTCACTGTTCATATCAGATTGTGTTAGTCTATCCAGTTGCAGTAAATGTTTATGACTAGTTATTGTCAAATGTCAGATATGAAAGAGAAATGTTTGTTGATTTAAAACAATCAATGCATAGATGCAAAAAATATTTATGTACATAAATCAATGATTTATTTTCAGTCAGAAAAAAAGGAATATTAAAAATGAATGTGTTCATGATAACCTTTGAATTGAACACATTGAATATAAGCTGACTGACATTTGTTTAAATATCATGTAATCTATCATGGATGTAGGTAATCGATTGTGTAATTTACCTTTTTTTCTGACCATTTACAAGTTGAAACTGTTTGATGATTGGAGTTTATCAATAGAAATTTGATAGTTATTGACTTACAATTGACTAAATAGAGTGAAGAACGAAGTAGTGAATTATATTTTAGGGGAGAAGTTTGGAGGTTTGTGTTGTTTTACACATTTGAAATCATCAATCGATCATTGTTAGACCAACATTAGAAACCTGGAAGTACTGAAAGACAGCCGTTTCGTCCGTTTCGGATGGGACTCATCAGTGGCAGTGCGCA